AGGTTGGGAAATACAAGAACAACCATTAGCTATATAATAAACTATTGATTATCAAAACTATAAAGCAAGTCATAATTTTTCACAACCACAAAGCAAGTCATAACTTTTCGACTAATCCTAATTCTTTCATTATATATATATATATATATATATATATATATATATATATATATATATATATATATATATATATATATATATATATATATATATATATATATATATATATATAAATGTATATATATATATATAATTTAAGATTAAAATCTTAAATCATTTTTCTTACAGAAAAAAAAAACAGTTGCGCACTCGCAGTTGTTTGCACTTATGATGGTATGCTATGGTAATGTATGTAATGTAAGATTGAATGTTTGTATGTATTATGACATTCTTGAACTTAATAAAGTTCTTAATAATAATTGTAATTCATACCTACATCTAAACATTGCTTCGCTCCCTTATCACATTGGCAGTCTTCACAGTCTAATAAGCTCTTTTACCACTCTTCCAATAGTAATTGGTATCTCTGAATCAAGACTAAATATCAACGATTCCAGTAAAACTGATGTTAATATAAATGGTTTTACTATTGAGCATAGTCCTACTGAGGCCAAAAAAGGTGGTGCTCTTCTATATTTACGCTCAAACTTAAACTATTTTATTCGTAGTGATCTAATAGTATACTCTCCGAAATACCTGGAATCTATCTTTGTTGAAATCGTCAATCCCCTAAAACAAAATACTATTGTTGGCACTATATATCGACATCCATCAATGAACTCTAATGAATTCATTACTGACCATTTTAATCCCTTGCTTGAGAGGCTTAGTTTAGAAAATAAACAAGTTGTCCTTATGGGTGATTTCAATATGGACTTGTTAAATTATAATGAATCAAAAGTTATCTCTAGTTATCTTGATACATTATGTTCTTATTCTTTTTTCCCTTCTATAATTCAACCTACACGTATAACTGCTAAATCTAAGACACTCATTGATAATATCTTTTTAAATTTCCAAACTTCTGATTTAATTTCAGGCAATCTTACAATATCGATTTCTGATCATATGGCGCAGTTTATCTGCATTCTTTGTCTTTCTCCCAAAAAAAGTAAGGAGGTAATATTCAGACGAACCTTCCAAAATTTCGATAATAAAAAATTTATTAAGGATATCTCTAATGCAGACTGGCAAATACAAATTACAAATAACAATAATGTAAATGAATCATTGCACTATTTTTTTAAAACTTTTAACAAAATTCTTGATCAACATGCACCCTATAAAAAACTAACTGCTAAACAAATTAAACTTAAATCAAAACCTTGGATTACCAATGGAATTTTAAAATCAATATCTATTAAAAACAAACTATATAAACAATATATAAAAGCAAAAAATCATAACATTAAAATTCATATTTTTAATAAATTTAAATGGTACAGAAATAACATTTGCAATTTACTAAAACTTTCTAAAAAATCATATTACATCAACTTTTTTAACAAAAATCTTTACAATGTAAAAAATACTTGGAAACAAACTGTCTCTGAATACTAGTAAAACTGAAATTATCATCTTTAAATCAAAACAATCTAAAATCAGTAAACACCTAAATTTTAGGCTGAGTGGTCAAAAAATCAATCCAGTTATGTATCTAAAGTATCTTGGAATCAAAATTGACTCAAATTTAACTTTTTCTCAACATCTTAAGGACTTGTCAATAAAACTATGTAGATCAAATGGGATGTTAGCTAAAACTCGTCATTATGTCAATCTTGAAACTCTTATCAATATATAACAAGCCATTTTTGGTTCACATCTTAGGTATGCGTGTCAAGTTTGGGGACAAATCCGCACCCAAGAAATTTTAAGATTATCCAACTTACAAAACAAAGCATTAAAAATAATATATTTTCAGCATTATCAATCTCCGATCATCTTTATTTTTTATCCAAAATACTCAAAATTGATGATCTAGTTCAACTATTAAATTGCCATTTTGTCTTTAATTATAAACAAAAATGTCTACCGAGCAAATTTACAAGTTTTTTTACTGTTAGAGAAAGCTGTCGCTATCATCTACGATCTGCTAATAGCTATAATCTTCATGTACCAAATCATTCTTCTGTAAAATATGGTCTAAAATCCATAAAATACCAAAGTGTAAAATCATGGAACAGTCTACCTTCACCATTAAAATCAATTGACTCTATTACTAATTTCAAAAACTGTCTTTTTAACTATTTTTTAGCAAGATGTTATACCTGAAGACTCTGAAATATGTTGTTATGCTTTTATTATTACTACTTTCTTGATACCTACTAATTTTTTTATTATTTTTTTGTTCTCATATTTTTATTGTTGTTATTAGTATTGATGTTAATAATATTCTTCTATCTTTATTAGTAAATTGTTATTTTTATTTATAACATAATAAGTACTATTATTGCTTTTTTAATTTTTTCTTAAGTTTATTTACTACTTATACTATGTAATTGTTATTACCACTATTATTGCTATTATCTAATATTGATTGTATAATATCTTTATTATTATTGTTAGTATTATTACTAATAATATTCCTTTTCATTGTCATCTTATTATTATTGTTAATATTATTTCTATAATTATTATCAATACTATTATTATTGTTATTATAATCACTTTTATCGTAATGTTGCAGGTTTTTACTTTAGATTAGTACTTGGACTATTTGTAAAAGTCCTTGAAATTTTACAACTTATTTCAGAATATATTGAATTGAAAAAAAAATTATGGATGCATGAATGCATGTATGTATGCAGGGTCGTCCCTTATTGAAGGTGTCTCTTATGGCTTATGGGGGATGGGTGTGTCGTATGTGTTTTTTGCCAACTAAAGATACAAAAAAAAAAAAAAAATGGTCCTCAAAGGTATTTGAAATTTGCCAACTACACTTCAAAATTCGCCAACTGAAATGCTAAATGTACAAATTTGCCAACTCAAATGCATATATAACAGCTTTGAAGTAGTGGGATCCCCTACGCCCAACGTTCGGGATGGCTCTGTATTTATGTAAATAGTATGTATAAATTGCTTTTTTTTAATTTCAGTACAAGTTTTACTGTAATACCTAAAAAATGGATTCAAGAACATTTAACAATTATGTTTTGAAAATTTTTCTGCGGAAAGAATGGAAACTGAAAAACATATACAGACATTCCTTTATAGAAATAATGTAATTTTTGAAATTTATTATTTCATTTGAAACTTTAAATTTTTGAAAGATTGAAAGACATATATTCTTTATTAAACTCTTTTACTTATTTTACTAAATAATTTCTAGCAATTATTTAAGGCAATACTAAGTTTAAGAACTTTAATGAAAATAATGATCTTAATGCAAATTTTTTACCTAACAGAAAAGATTTTTAAACTTGTAAAACAGATTATTAAATATGCATAACCACTTTAATTTTTTTATATTATCAATAATTTTTAACTTAAAGGTTAGGTTGTCACAAAACTTTCATAAGCATCAAGTAATGCCAGAAACACTTATGCTCAATATGTTGAGTGTAGATTTTTGTCTTCTGATCACATGAAGTTTGTTTCCTAGCCGCAAGGAGTTGATTTCATTTTTTTACAGAGTTAAACAGAGTTGTTGTTTTTGTTAATTTTTTATGTGATTTCATTAATTTTCAATACTTTAACGGTAATATTCTTATTTTAGAATACTTTAATTGAATCAATTAACAAAAGTTAAATTTATTAAAACTCTTTTATTCAAGTAGATTAAGTAATTTATTGACTATTTATTAGTAGCTCAATCCTCACCAAGTTGTTATTTGTGCTACAAATAACAATTTGGTGAGGATTGAGCAAATTATTGACAAATTATGTCAATAATTTGTTGACAAATTATTGACATAATTTGTCAACAAATTATTTAACACAACTGCTCTGTTTGTTAAGGTTTTTGTTTTGGATTAATAACCATGAAAAAAAGCAATAATCGAAAAAAATAAAAGAGTCGCGTCTTCATTGGTAGTACTCCCGTCGGCAATGAGTTAAGCTAAAGATCCTTGGTTCAATGTCACTTCTGGACAAGTCTTTTAACATCAATAAGGAAGGAGACGTAAACTTCCTTTAAAACCTCTTTCACCGCTCTTCCGCGGTGTTCTGTGATAAAACCGTTAAAACTTCTTAGGGTACCTAAAATAAAAATAAAAATTCGTGGCAACTATGTATACTATTGGAATTAAGCTAGTTTTTTAAATAAGTGTAAAGTACTAACTTAAATATGCTCTCATTATGAAAAATGAAGCGATGAGCTATTCGTGTGCCTTATTTTAAATGTAGCAAATGCAGTTTGACAGGCGAAAAAGATTTAGAGATAAAATGTTAGCTTCTAATAGAATAAATGGTCGAGCTTTATCTTTTGTTAATCTTAATAAATATATATTTTTTTGTATATGAACAATGTATTATATGTCATATATGTATTCTAATGAACTTTTACTTAAATACAAATTATTTATTAATTTATAGCGTATTGCTAAACTGACGGAGATTTTATAGTTTAAAACATTGTACATTCTATTTTTATTATTTGCATCCCTTTTTTGGGTAGGTACCCAGTAAACACGCAAACGTCTATTTAACGTCGAAACAGCGTTTATGCAAAACACTTATATTTGGTTGATTAACCGTTTAGAATAAAATCCAGATTAACGTTTAGAACAAACGTCCATGAAAAGCGTAGAAGTTTAAACGTATTTTAGACGTCAATTAGAGGGTGGTAATGCGCATATAAAGCGTTTAGAATTTGTTAAACTTACGTTTAGATATAGTCTAATAAACGTATATAAAGCGTTTAGATTAAGTCTAATTAAACGTATATTAAACTTTTATATCTTGCGAATAGTTTCTCAATAATTTGTATCCGATTTATAATCTTTTAAATGATTTAAAACAAAGTTTAAAAAACCTCATTATAATCTTTTTCCTTTTTTTTATAACAAATAGTAACAGTAAAGAGCAAAACGTTTCTACGTAAGTAACAAATTACATTTTACAAATGTTACATGTAATTTTAACATTGTTTGGACTAATGTGTAATTTAACATAAAATCATTAACATGTAAATATTAAGACATTATTTGGACTGATGTGTAATTTTAGGATAAAATCATCTTACTACGACAAATATTTAATTGAATATTATCTTATATAAAAAAATAAATAAACTTTACGTAAGTAAATATTACTTTTGATGAATAATCTGAAAAAAAAAGGAAACTTTTACTTTGGTTGAATTCTTTTTTTTTAAACGTTTTAAAAACACTATTTTACAAAGTTTTTTTAAAATAATAAAAATACTAAACTAAATAATTTAGTGCTTTTATGAACATAAAGTTAACAATAGTTGCAATTAGATCATATTTAAATTCAACAATTTTAGCGTAAATATAAATACTATATAAGCGCAGAGACGTATATAGATTGTATGTATGTACACTGGAAATATGCTAGGTGTATGTATACTGGGAATGGGTACAATCAAACGTAATGTAATTTTACCGACAAATTTTTGCATTAAAAATTATATTTAAATTTTTAAGGCAACCAAACTAATGCAGTATTTTACCGACAAAATGTTACAAAATTTAATTTGGACAGCAATTTAATTGGACATCAAGAACTATTGCTATTATGGGACTTGCTAAAGAAACATCAGAAACTGTTTAAATATGCTGTAAGTTTTTTAGAATGCATTACTTTTATTATATTTGAACAAATTCAAACTTGCGCTTTGGCTAAAAGTAAGAAATATATAGAAATAAGATTAAAGGGGGGTTTTGTGGAATTAAGAAAATTGTAGCAAAGATGAGTTTTATAAAAGTATAACGTAGCGCAAACTAATAAACATGACAAGTATCTAAAGAAGCAAACTGCAAAAACTGAAGAATCGTTCTCAAATCAATTGAAGCAATTAAATCTCATGGAGTACATATGAAAAATCTAAAGGTAAAATTGCAGTATGCAAGTAAAGTTAGTTACACCATTAAAAATAAGCAATAACAATAACTATTCATTGATCTTAAAGAAAAAAAGTTACAGAAACAAAAACGATTATAATAATATCTTGTGAACCCCAAGAAGTTTTGTTAAGCACTTTTCTGAACGAAAAAAAAAGTTTCTGAACGTTTCGCAACTGATAAAGTGAATTTTGCAATTTCCGTTTTTAAAAAAAGGCAGCGATGAGTGTCGTGATTTAAAAAAAAAGAAGAATTTTTTTAAAGGCTTGCTACTAGAAGTTGAAAACTACCCTAAAGCAGTTACATGTTTGAACAAAAACTGATCGAGAAACTTTTCAAATTTAAACACACAGCGTAGCAGCATTTGTGTATATTGAGCTCTCAAAGTATTACACAACTTGCATTCCCAGAAAAAAAAGTTTTATAAAAATTCTATAAACATTTGAAACATATAGCCTATAAAAATTCTATAGAATTTCTATAAAAATTTGTTAATTTTTGTTAATTTCTATAGGAATTTTTATAGAACTTTAAAAAGGAAATTTGTAGCGGTAGAGAATGATATCAGGAGTTAGAAAATGGCAAGCAGGTGGAAGAAAAGCAACCTTAGCAGACACTAATTTAGCAATCCACTGTATATATGGTTTCCTTGATAGGTCAGTGAAAAATAATCCGAGAAGATGTAAAGAAGAAGACTCAGTAAGAGGATTGCCATTCATTAGTATTTATTAGATTTCTTATTTAAATTTAATGGTTTTGACATAAGGTTTATTTTTTTTTTTAAAAAGGATTTTTTTAATATTCGAAGAGTAGGTAAAAGCCCCATTTTTCACTAACTGTAAATTAATGTCAAACTATAGGAATATACTTACATATAAAAATATACACCTATATACATCTTCAATCACAAATAAAAAAATCAAGAGGAAGGAAAACCAAAGAAAAGATAGCTTTCACAAAACCCTTAGTTGATGTGGCAGCACTTCTTTGCCCATCAAGTTATAAAACAGTTGATGTATGTACTGAGACCACTAATAGAAGACTGTTTCATTGTGATGTCACAGTGAAATAGTCTTCTGGTATATACATATACATATATATATATATATATATATATATATATATATATATATATATATATATATATATATATATATATATATATATACATATATATAAATATAGGTATATATATAGGTATATATATATATATATATATATATATATATATATATATATATATATATATATATATATATATATATATATATATATATATATATATATATATATATATATATATATATACATATATATAAATATAGGTATATATATAGGTATATATATATATATATATATATATATATATATATATATACATATATATATATATATATATATATATATATATATATATATATATATATATATATATATATATATATATATATATACCCAGCGGGCATTTTGACGTCCTAAGAACGTCCGTAAGACGTCTTAAGTCTCGTCCGTAAGACATCCTTAGTTGGTCTCAAATGAAAGGCTTGAGGACGTCCATTCCGGACGTCCAAAAGACGTTTTTTAAAGACGTCCTAGAGACGTTTTTTGCAGACGTTCTAGAAACGTCTCTGGCTGGTCTTATATGAATGACTTAAGGACGTCTTTTTCAGACGTCCTAGAGACGTTTGAATTTTACCAAGACATTCTTTTAAAAGTTATATAAAAATGCAATGATTTACAACACACACCTTAGATTTGCCTTAA